GGCGTTTTGTTGACGAGAGTCCAACAATGTCGAGTTGGTACTTTATGGCCTCATCAACTAATTCTTGTTCCTTTCCTCTGAGTGAGGATATGTTCCAATTTCCAACTTTAAGCTCCCACTGGTGGTGTCGTTCTTGTGAAGCCTTTTCTGACGTGCTATAATGGCATCGCGGTGTCTGCCTCCTCCGTTCAGAACGGTTAGCGATTCCGTTGGTGACTGGTATCTTCGTCGTGGTTCCGTAGGTCTTCGTCAACCGTCGTTGTGCTGCTACGCCCCCGGCTGGCAGAGGGCAATGAGCAGGTTCTGATCGCCGACATTTTGCAGTCTGCCTCAGGACCCCAACAGCCTGCGCGGTCCTTGGTAACCCGGGCGACGACCGAGCCGGTATAATTTTCGATGACGTCAATACCATGAGTAGCAGGTGGCTGAATTTTACGGAGACTTGCCACGGTCTCAAACCCTCCTCCTTTCTCACCCCATGAGAAATGAGATGAGAAAGGAGGAGCGTTGGAGGCCATCAGTTTGCGAAAAAATAACCTAGACTTACTGTAATCAGTTTAATCCAAGTCAAACTGTGAACTGTAACAAATGAGCAAAACAGGCGTCGACAGTTGGCTAGCAGCTAGCCAACTCTTGACAATTTGTATGCACTGACAATGGTAAAACGACATTACGATAGCCAACATTTACATTATCCAGCGATTTCATATCTCACCACCATCGCGTATATTTTCCCAGCATGTCAGACAATCAGAAACGTCAGAAAAACCAGAACCTATTCCACTGTGCTAGAAAGACGCCCGTGAGAGGACAGCGGTGAAGTAGTTCAGTAATCGTTTGAATATGACTGAAGAACATTCGCCAGATGTTAATGCATGTCCGCTGGAACTTGGATCTTAAAAGAAAAGGATTATTAAGTGTTCTTGTTGATGTTGCACACTTGGGTGGAGGTATATCAACAGCACTATTATGCCAAGTTACCAGATGATGCTCAAGAAACTTTCTTCAACGGTTGCTTTTACTCGAATAAAATCAAATCGTGTCGAGACGCTCTTCTGGTCGCAGGTAATGAACAGACTACAAACAATTCAGCATCATCGTTTTCGTCGTTCGCAGGGACAGTCCAAGAAACTGCGCACCGCGGACCGTTTCCATTAAGAACTAAAAATTACGCCACGTAAAGTTTGACCGACCGGATCGAAGTCCCTAGATTTCCATACCGGTTGAATATTCGCTACAGACGTTGCAATAAGTGCAGATTCACCCTGTAATCAGTGTCTATGAACGAGCAGATTCACAACAGCGACGAGTCCGATAAATAAATCCAGTCAAATCTGATACAGTGCAATCGCATACCCGTGCGTGAACCACTGTCGAAATACGCGTGTAGAGCCCAGTCACATTTTAAATTCAGCGTTGGCTATTAAGCCAAACGAGATACTGAAAACGTCACCTCGCTTGCCACAGCGTCAACCTGCCAAGTCCAGGACGGCAACAGCTAGTCACGAAATCAAGAAGCACATGCCAGAGCAAAACTAACAGGGGTGCGTCATCCGTAAATGATACAGTAACAGTAAATGTTTGTCATGAACCTTGAAGCAGTCTACTAAATCGGTCACAGCATCAGCGGTTAATCTATCACCTTGACGCTGTATGAAAAATCCTTCTGTAGGGAAGACTGTTGCTCTCATTGTCATCTAATACTTGCAAAGCTCGAAGATAAGGCATTCCTAGGTTGTTTAGATCTTATCCGATTGAAGTGTTATCTTAGGTTTACACTGGGCGTTGTTTACTGCTGCAGCAGAAGACAGTGTAAGCAACCTCACTGTAGAGGGGCGTTATCAACGTACAATTTCTTGGTTTTGTACGGTCAGTAAACGCATCTGCGACCACCGTACGGTCCTCGTAGGGGAAAAAGATTCAAACAGACGTCCCTCCCGTTTTTGGACGTTTTACCACAGTAGGCAAGGTACCGATCTCTTTCTTCTGTAAAATTCCACAGAATACTGGTTGTCAGCACCACCATTCTTGAAAATATTTTAGTGTCGCACTTTGAGAATACTTCGCAGGCTGCATTACTGAAGGCTGCTGAGAAGAGTTTCACGGCGCCTGAGAACAATAGATCATGTCAGACTACGTCGGGCATCTAGAATGTGATTGAGACGGTGGTCACCGTTTCTATTATTATTGTATGATTCTTTCATCATACGTCATACACTCTCCTGAGAAACGCTGATGCCGATCCGACACGCATGTACTGATGATAAGTATATTCTTATAAGAAACAAAAACGAAAAGCTGGTGAGGCTACATTTATTTTCGAAGCGATCACGTGAAGGCAGTAAGTTGCCGACAAACTGACAAAGAATGAATGAGCTGGATCCAAACCTCATACTGCGCTTAACAAATCGCGATACGTTCCAAAAAATGTCCTTAACTTTCGCTAAACAAACGGAAGCGAACACTTACTTCAAAGCAACTCGTCGTCATCAGATCTACTGAGGAAGCGAAATAACTTTTTTACATACATGACGTATATAGGTATAAATTAGAAGGTTGCAGTGAAAGATGTGCTACTTTAACCATGCTTAAAACCGACAAGTCCCGAACAGGTACTTTCGCTTATATGAGCATTACAGTATTTTCCATGGCTGCGAACCGAAAGAAATTTTGCGCTAGAAGCAAAACATGCATGCACGCAGACAACTACAGCTCGTTCGTGACAAGAAACGACACGACGTATACCTGGCGAATAATTTCCTGCTGTCGACTTCTGTACTGCTGACGTTCCTGGATCAGTTCCTCGACTCGCTGTTGCGAACTAGGACTGAACATGGCCGCCTGCTGCTTCATGCCCATCTGAGTCGATAGCTGCGCGTTGACGGCAGCGGGCGGCTGCGGTATCCTCAAAATTCCATCCTCGTAGCGGTTCGGCATCATCACCGCACTGTTGTAGTCGTTGATACTGCTGTGCCGCTGAAGAATCGCCGGCCTCTGCACTTCTTCGGCTAAACACATGAAAGTTAAAATACGCTTTACGAAACGCCGACAATCGTTCGCATACGAAGACGTGGATCAAACCATGTAGTCGTCTTATTGTTGTGGTTTATGAAGTACTTCTCTCCTTGCGAAGTAGTTGTCTCTTCCCAGCCGCAAGGCAATGGAGGAAGATTCAGGGCGCTTTCTTTCGGAAAACTTTGACGAGGGTCCTCCCACGTGGTCGTTTTCAGTATGTGACTAAAATCATTTGCATGAAACAACGTCATCGCTTATTACGATCCAGAATCCTAATAAAATATCAATCAAAGAAAACAGAATTAACCAATGAGCTGCGCGCTATGGACACCATTTGCACCATGGCTGTTATTGCTTACATAACTTCGCACAGTCGTTTTTGTTGTACAACTTTAAATAACCGAAAAGCAAAATCACAGAAAATTAAAACAGGAAAGCGTCTCTTGTGAAAATTCGCCTCTACACCTAACGACCGATGCTCTGAACCATGAGAAGCGACTAGCTTTCGCTGCCCAAGAAAATGCCAAATACTGCAGCACGCCAACATGCCAGCAAGGTCAGCAAAAATAAATCAATGGAAGCAAATACCGACGAAGACACTGCAGACCATAACAAAAACTTAAGCATCTAAACGAGTTTTCAGCGACTTGCAGGCCGTTGGCATATTTGTGTCACGCCAACGCCACGCGTAAGGTAATTCACAAGTTTAACCCCAGAATTCTCGCTGTGGAAAATGTACAACGACCGTCGCAATGAATCGCATTCCAGTGAAAGAGGAGCAAGTCTGTAACCAGTGGAATGTCAATCATCATTACACTTACATCATGGCGTCATTTCTGACGCCCTTCCTTTCATGATGGCAATGGTTTGGCGCTTATCTCGATTTCCATGCCATTAGCTAGGGGTGCCTTAGTTTAAAGGAAGAGTTGGCAGCAGCTACGTGGTACGAATAGTGTGTAATCTCCTATTTCTTTCCCATGAAGCAGTACTACTTCATGAACTTCGGAAGGAAGAAAAGGGAGTGACCCAATCGAGTCTCGAAACGCGGACGTCTCAGTTCTGATTCAGATACTTTATCGACAAAGAAACTCCGCTCTCTTGCGAGGGAAATGTCGAAGGTAAGAGGCTATTTTTTTAACCACGGAGACAAGTCATGAGCACAGCAGGGGTCGAAGCAGCAGTAGTGCTCATGGACTGACAACCACCTTTATACGTTCCAAGCAATTCTACCAAATGAAAGACACTCCCGATTAAAACTCGAAGAAAACACTACCAGTCGTCGTCCATATTAAATACCGAAAAACTGCTACGCACATTTTTATTGCGCGTGTATCCTCTGGACCGACGGTGACTCACGCGAAAAACGGAAATGTGATCAAAAAACCTGGACCAGGCTGGTTGAACAGTGGTACGAAACGGAGAGAAGAGTATTACACACGCTATTCGGATGGCCAAAAACCGGCAAATCCGCTGCAATAGCACTGCCTAAACCTGTGCATTCAAGTCGTCATCTCATCTCACTGAACGGAAGGTTATATTTTTCACGTTATAATAACAAGCGTAAGGAATTCTTGGTTTACAAGGCAGCAAAGGCTACGCGACAAAAGTCCTCAATTTCATCTGGCAGGTGAGGCTCCAAGATCAATCTTTTACCCGTGTTTCATGTGGCGCGTTTAGTGATAATTGCGGGATCGTATGAAAAAATTGTTGAATTTGCACCTCTAGCCACTACAGTAGGCGTAAAGACCGGAACGGCCTTGACATAATCAACAATGGGTAAGATGAACATAGGTGGTGCTTTGAGTGCCATTTTCATGCTAACTTCCGGCGAGTTCTGTTCTGTCGAATTACTACCTGTAGCGACACTAACCGAAGGATAAAAGTTGATGTTGTGTGAACAACAGCATCTTTCCGTTTCACGGAGAAAGCTAGTTCAACTAAGCAAACGGAGGTACGAATCGGTAAGAAATTAATGATCTCAAGAAAATTACTGGCAGCAACTCTCACGCTGACTGAATGCGCAAAACGCATCTGAATCTAGCCAACCCATTATTTGTCTTTAACGAACAGGATATGCAAAAATTTCCGCCCCGCGTATGTCAACCAAAACAGAAGGGGATGAAAAATCCAGCAAAATGAAAAAGCATCAAACTAAAAGCAAATATCTTATATGAAACCGTCCGGTAAATGCGGCCGCGTGGAAAGCAAAGTTAGAACTCAAACCGGAGAGGGCAAGAAGATAAAGGAAATAAAGAAACAATGGTTTAGAAAAAACAGGGATAGAAAATCCATCTCATCGACAAAGCGGACATAACTGAAAATAAAGTCTACTTTTAGCATTAAAATATCAGAATGTGAGACCGTAGAAAAGTTAGACGGTGAGGTACCAAGTCAAAGTACAATTCTCAATGACGTTTAAGAAAAGATACTGCGTTAAGTATTGCTTTTCTCATTACAAACTTTGAATCTGACTGATTACGTTTAATGAGTGCAGAAGAGATTAACCTAACAGGAGTGAAAATAACGCGACTAGTTAAGAGGAGGCAGGCGCAACTCCTTGTGTGTTTGATCATCTTTGAGATCATCTTGAACCGTCTGCATAATCAGAACGTCTCTGGTTTGTGACCTCCACAGCATTCGCAGCTTTCAACACGTTTATTTTAAAGAATAGGTTAATGTATCGCAGGAGATAACTCCGAAAACGACTGACCTCTACCTGGTTTCGGCTCCCACAGGAAAAGCTCATGGGCTGGACTACATAGTTTGTATTCACAAGCTTGTTTAACAGGGTAAGCCTTCATTTCATAATCTCTAAATCTACAGGTCACTTGTGTCCAAATGAGAAGAGAGTTATTCCTAATATTTAACGCTCATCATGAATCGAAGACAACGATGCTGTACGCGGTTCAACCGCTGACCTTGCACCTTCACTACAACAACTGTCTCCAAGCCGTGGAACAGCACCGACCTGAAAAAAGGCTAGGAACAGGTGGACTTTTGTGGAACGATCAATTTATTTCTTAACCGAAATATTGCACAGATTCCCGAAAGCACTCGAAGCTAAGGCGATCTTCCTACTTAATTCTGGCTGGATAGTGCCATTACTCGAGATGACGGAACCGAGATTTTACAACTGGTCAATCTCATCAAGCGCCTCACCTCCCTGTATCACCCGCAGCCCATCTGTGCCGGATGGTTGCTCATAACTTTGGATTTCCGGTCGCTAAGGAGACAGACTTTCGCAACTGTGTTGCATATCGAAGCCGCCAGGTGACAGATCCTGCTCTGCGTACTACTCAGGAGCATAAGATCGTCCGCACACTCCAAGTCAGTAAGATATCTAGCTGGATATTCTGAACTGCGCCTTGCCTCTAAAATGAGACATTCGCTTTGACAGAGTCAACAGTTTGCAGTGCGGTAGACCGTGCCTTATAACAAAAGTGCCAAAAAGTTGCAGACAGAGCGGTTATCAAAAACCGTAGAAGATCTGCTCATGCCAACGGCTCGAAGTAACGGCTCGAGCTCAACTAACACACAACAGGCGAATTCACGAAGATTTGAGCACTCATTGTGCTGAGTGGGAAGCTAACTGTAACACCGTAACACCAACGATAGAAACTACTCTTGAACTGAGAGCAAATATTAAAAAGCACTACATTCAGAATCTCGATCAGTTCAGGAATAGGTTAATATTTATATGTATTTTTTGTGAATCTGCTCGGCGCCTTTTAAATTTCTGGTAATACATGAGGTACTTTCTCGCAGGAAATCTTAGGAAAAACTTGTCAGGCCTTGCCACTGTAAAAAAGGTGTGATATAACTCACGGGTCGCTCATTTTTTACGCAAAGTGATATAAGGGTCATCATTCTGATAACGCCTCTGCTCCAGTTGTAGATTCCTTAACAAAGAGTTAGGAAGCATGGCTAGCGTTCCACAAATGTTCGCGAGTATTTGCGAAACATTCGCGAGGTGACAATGTAACGATGATGATAAGATAATAATGATAATGAGTACGTACGCATCGATGGCAATGTTCGTCTTAGTCAACCCACAGCGTGCTCCGTGATTAAGGCGTACGGTACTACCCCTGTCCTAGGCTACACCTGTTTGCGAGCCCTTGCCAGACCTGTCATCTTTGAATCTGTACAGCCCGGCCAACAGGCCTGACTTTAGCATGGTAGGGTAGATAATTTTAGTGGTTACGGAAGTACGCTATACTCACTGTGCATTTGGTTGGCTTATATAAAAATTTGCACTATTAAGGATTATGAAGTTTTTCAGTGCCATATGCGTTCGGCTTTTGCACACTTTTGTCAGATTAAGCAAGCATCCATCTGCTACTGTCAATTAGTGATATACTGTCGTCCGCTAGACCGCGATTCGGTTACCTCTTGCAGCGCTTCCAGCTATCTGCTGTTCGTTTCGTTCGTCACCGTGAAGCGCATTACGTGAAACTGCGCGGAGACAACAGTTAGTTGTTTCACAACAATCACAACTGATTCCGTTCCGTTCATGATTTCGAACTAATTCAGATCCGTGCACCCTATGCCATCCATGACGATAAGCTACTGTCAGACAATAATGCGCTCACCACAGCGCGACGTAACGGTTCGGCGGCTGCATTCTTACGAATCGGTTGTGTCGAAGTCGAAGTTGGCCGGATCGTGTCACTCACGATGGCCTGAACACCGAGTGGTGGCCTTCATGGGCAAACCGAGCGAGCAGCGGAGAAATGACCTACCGACTGGCCGGTCGACAGACGACAAGCGCGCGACAACAAACGGTCAGTCGGTCGCACGACGTAAGACAACAGTTGGATGTTACAGCAAGAATTGTTCTAGGATTGACGGTGACGACTAGGACGATGACGAGGTCGATTACTCGTCATCCCACATGACCTCCACTGTGTCTGCGGATACTTACATCATGTGCAACGATCATCAAGGCCGGCTACAGTCCTTCTGCGTGCAATGCGACAACGACAGCGGCATACGATCCACCGAATTCGTTTCTATTTCTGTCTCTGAAACTGGGGCAGTAACCGGTGCTGAACGCTCGCTCACTGACTCCCTTGTAAAAAGTCATGAAGTTGTACGCCGTCTAGTTACGCGGCAGGAGGTGATCGGTCGGCAGGCAGGTATATAGTAGCAGTTGATCATCAGAGGATTAGGCGACGATGACGATGACGACAACTTCTCGTAAAACAGTCGCCTAAGTCACAGCATCGGAGTCAAAGTCGGTTCTTTCGGATAAACGGTGCAGTCATGGATGACGAACAAGCGCGTGTAGTATGTCATGTGTGACCATCCAATCGTCGTTGTTCAAAACCAGCAACCTACTGATGAACGATGACTGAACGTCGTTCGCCACATATGGGTTATTCGTTGCGAC